TTTTTTTTTTTTGAAGGACGCATCAAAAATTGTGGTGATTTCATCACGGAAACAGTTATTAATTGTAGTTTTGGTTTTATCGGACCGATAGCCAAACACTGTGGTTGATAGAGGACCGGAATTATTTGGATTACGTGCAGTTATTTGCTGATTGAATGATGCTTATTGTTGGAGTAGCAGTTTTTTCTTAAATCACATAGAAATATTGAGCGTTGTAGTTGTGATAGATACACTGATGACTTCTTTTTTAAAGTATCGAATGCAGCGGTATAATTGAACAGATTATGTGGTGGTAAAAAATAGGTTATAGTGGAGGAAGCTTGATTATCTGGAAATTGTGCGCTAGTAGATAAAAAACAGGTAAGCAATGCGGTGGTAATTGGTATCTGGGTGCGGTGATAGATGCGATGTCTATAGCGTTTTGTTCATTGGATAAAAGATCATTTTTGGGTGCTTCGTGAACCCGAGAAGCGCTACGTGATGTTTATGAGCTTCAATCATTTTTAAGAACCAGAGGATGAAGTTCAGATATTTTTTTTTTAATTAGGAGAAGACTTGTCGAAGAACTGCAAATTTTGGTGCAGTTGTTTTTGGTGTAAAAAGCAGCTGTTTGTAACTTTTACCTGTTTCTCTTTTTCCATCTCAGCATTACAATTTTTTGATGATGATACGTGTAGATGCAGAGTTCTTTAACACCGAAGTTCATTTGAAATAATTGGTAGGGATAAGCAAGCAAACTGAAAAATGTTACTTTTTTTCTGATATCCTGCAACAGTATTTTTGTGCCCTGCTGCTGCCAGTCTAAGGTTTTCTGGAGTTGTTTGATTTATTTCAAATAATTTGAGTTGTGCACAAGATTTTTCATACAAATATTGGGCGTAGGCGTTTGAAGTTGTTTCGGTTGTTGATAAAAGGAACTTTGCAGGGCTCTCTTTGATGAATAGGTTTTTGATAGACTATGTAACTTTTTCGTTGGGTGTTTGTAATTTTCAACCCGTCGTAGTGTTTGTCTTAACTTTACTTTGTCCCTTTAGCTCTTCATGGTATATACAAAATTCTAAAATCACTCGTATTATAACTTACTGCTGTTTTAGAGTATCTTAAGGAAATATAATGGATTCGATACGTGAAGGTTGGTTCACCGAATTTTCACCCGATCAAGCCGAACTAGATAAGAAAGGTAAATTCTTTGTTTGATAGTCACTTTCATTCCTTCTGTCAACCCTTGATACGTCGCTGGTCTAAAGTATTTCAATGTATTTTGTAGATTTTAGGGACTTCTGAGACAAGTGAAGTTATTCAGGGAAACTCTTGGCCAGGGCAAGCGTTTTCACTGCAGATTTCTAAAGAACTTTTTCACGAGAAGAGTGCTTATCAGGATGTACATGTATTTGAAAGGTGCTGCTCGGCTTAATGGCTAGTTTTTTAGACAGAGTAGTAGTTTCGGTAGTAAACTGCTTTTTTTTGGCCAAGTTTTAGTAGAAGTCATGGCCGGGTGTTGGTACTGGATGGTATTATTCAGTGTACTGACCTTGATGAATTCGCTTATCAGGAGATGTTAACGCACCTTGCCATGTTCTCGCATCACTCGCCAGCAAAGGTTGCTTCTTGAAGTGTCAAGGGGTTAGAGTAAAACTTACACACTTATAAGTATTATTCTTGTGCACTCGTGTTATGATACGGTAAAAATTTACAAGATATATAGTAAGGCTTTCTTACAGATTTACTGTTTATAGGTACTCATCATTGGTGGAGGTGATGGTGGCATTCTACGGGAAGTTCTAAAGCATGATTGCGTTGTGTCGGTCGTTTTGTGTGAAATTGATGAAATGGTGATTAATGTTTCCAGGAAGTACTTACCACAGTTATCTGTATCTTTCGATAGCCCAAAACTAGAACTTCATATTGGAGATGGCATGGAGTTCCTTAAGGTGTGTCACGGTTGAATTTTTACTACCGATAATTTATATTTTTTGTCTGACATCTGACTTTTTTCATAAAAAAACAGATTTCTCGTATCTACTCATTTTGTTATTCTTTGGCTTTTAGCACCACGTTAATGAATTTGACGTTATAATCACTGATTCATCTGATCCTGCTGGGCCTGCTGAGAAGCTCTTCACTAAAAGTTATTATGAACTTTTGAGGGATTCTCTAAGAGAAGGAGGCGTGCTTTCTTCTCAAGGTGGGTCCTGATTTACAAAATTTTATACCAGATGTCGAATACTTGGAGAATGCTTAAATTAGTGTTCAAAAGCGAATGGGATAGCTTGTAGCCATTAGATGTCCTTTTGTAAAACTGTTATCATTTTTGGGAAAGCTGAACAATTCAGGAGAATGCCCCTGGATTGATATGTCACTGGTGCATGAAGTGTATAAGTCGTGTAAGCAGCTATTCAGTTCCGCAGCATACGCAGTTGGATCAGTGCCTACTTACACCACTGGGTTAATGGGGTACATAATTTGCCTAAAGGACCAGGTTAGAAATACACTATTTTAATGAGAAATTTGTTGAGTCTTGGGTGTTACAGACACCTAGATTTTATAATTTTAAATCGGTTTGCGTTCTTGTACACTTTTGTCACAATTTGGACGTATTTAAACTACTTTTTACTTCAACAAACTCCGGTTCCTGTTTCCAGAAGAGGGACATATCTGTGCCACTCAGGACATTGTCGGAAGAAGAAGTTAAGAGAATGAAGTTACGTTATTACAATTCTGCTGTTCACAGAGCTTCTTTCGCACTTCCACAGTTTATAAAGGAGGTGAGTAAAATTGTTTGTTTGCTTTAATTTGTTTCTTGCTTGGAGAAACATTTTTTATTTGTCTTCTTAAAACATACCTGCGGGGTGTGCTTCCCCTTGTTTGTCAGGGAAACTTCTTTACTTTCTAAACCAATAAATGCCTCTAAGTTTATGCTATTAACGGCTTAGTGTTTTTTGTAGTTCTTAACGAATAGAAGTTATTTGTCGATCATAAATTTTGAACATTATAGTTTTTTTAGCATTTTGCCTGCCTTTTTAAGCTAATTTTTAAGCATTCGAAGTGACTAATACAATTTTTTAATCTTTTTAAAGAAGAGATAGTTATTTTCCAAAATTCTGGAATCAAAAATTCAGAGCTAGAGCAAAGTACAAAGCTTTCACAAATTATTTTTTCTTAGGTGGAAACAAGGTTTAAAGTAAAGTTGGAAGGTCTGAAATGGGAAAAGAAGAAATTATTTTGTAGTTTTGACAGCATTTGAGAGTCTTGTTTGTTTTCAGAGTGTACATTAGTTTTGTGGGTGATAGGTATGTTAATAAAAATTGGATAAAGTGGCAGTTTACTGTGATATGCACAGCAGGAGAGTGGCGAAGTAATTTGCTGACCTACAGCTTTTTCATTTTGCTAGAGTTCTTTAAAAGACATGCCAAAATACAGGGATTACAGGTGGAACTTTGAAATTGTGTTTATTGTTTCATAAGGAGTTCCTCAATTTTTGGCAGACGTTTTCTGCAGTTTTTGAAAGAAACTAGATCTTTTTTCAGGCGCTTGAATCTTCTGGTTGAGATGCAATAAACTTTAAATGGAACCCACTGCAACAGAATGTCGATCTTTTTCCTGATAGTAGATATTCCTTTCGTTGTTGGTACTTTTGCATTTTAAGACCTTAATTAGGCATAGATTATTGCACAAATCGTTTTGTTACAAATAAAGTTTAAAAACTGTGTTTGGCACTGGAATTTACCTATCTTTCCCATTAATAGTCTTTACAGTTAAAAAAAAGTAATTTAAAGGGATAACAGCAGCAACATCATTTCTATTTTTTTTTTCTTGGAAACCTGAAATCCATGGATTGATTACCACTTGTTGTTGTCCTTTTCTGTTGACGTTTGATTTTTGATAAATGCTGCCAGAAAAGAAAATGAGTTTGGTTATCGCTCTATATGCTGGTTGACGTGTTTGTTAGGTTGCTAAACCAGAGATTACTTACCTGTTTAGATTACTGATGTTCGTAAGATTTCTGTATTTAATATGGGCAAGTGAGGTATAAACAGAGAGCTCTTTTTTTCAGGCTTCTGCACTGTAGCAAAATTTTGGAACAGTACGGTGTTGTGAAATTGTTTTAGACGTTTAGGATAGTTTTCGCCAATCCTGTTTGATCATCAAATTTAAAGATTTACACTGCGTTTGTCATTTGCAGCGTTCCACGTCAAGTTTGACCTAGAAATGGAAGGCTTCAAACTGCTGGAGTTGAGGCAATTTCTAGATATTGTTGTTGGATTCAGGTAGTTGAGTGGCTTTTTTTGCTTTCTTGCCCGCAGCCATGCGCACAAAAAACGGTGGAGTTCTGTCCAAAAAAACGTCGACAAGCAGAACAGATAAGAAAGTTAATGAAACGTTGAGTCAGTCTTCTTAGCCTTTCTGTTCCAATTTTTCTAAAAGCCGGACATTAAGTTTCTGATATCAGTAGCTAGTAAATTACAGTGTAGATCTTTGATTTTTGTGTTTTACGTTAGTTAACTTTTCGTTTCTAAGGGGAAAAGGAATTGCTGCTTATTGAGTCTCCAACTACTGATGAGAATATCTAGTTTGTGCTTGTACATTGTGTCGACGTTTGGGGCTTCTGAACATATGGACTTGGATTTAGAAAGAGATCTAAAAATATTATTACAACGAAAAGGTGAGATTTAGTAAGAAGGAGCGGAAATAGCATTATTCGAAAGAGTAGTATAAGGACTCCGCATTCGCAGTTATGCCAAATTCTGCGGCACCAATCTGGAGAGTGGGAGAGGATGTCATTGAAATCATGTTCGACTATTACATTTTGCTTCTTTTACCTCGATTTTATCTTTATATTAGTCTACTCCAAATGAAGTATGAATGCCTTGTCAAAGTGGTTTTCTTTTGTTTGTTCTTGATGTAGTGTGGCATAGGTGTTCAAACTCAAAGGCTGGATTTCTTTATGTATAGCTCTGTTACGCTGAAGGGAATCATTTTATGACGTAATTCTGTGAAGAGTTATTAATCGGAAGCTACCATTCTTGCAGGTTGCGAGTGGTTATGAACTTTTCCTTAGAAGTTTTTGCCTCCATCTCAGAGGAATAAAAGCTACTGAGAAGGAGGAAAATTTGAATGATGCGTCAGATAACTTTCATCAGCATTGCAGAAATATCTGCGTTATTGTGAAGGGTCCCCAGGAGTGAGGTTACTTATCATCGGTCATTGAACATTGTCCAACATCGCATCCAAACACTGTAGCGAAAAATTTCGTTTTTTTGTTTTTTTTCTCGATAAACTTGTGAGAAGTGTGATGTTTGGAAGTTTTGCGTAACGGTGAACCGCTTGTTCAACTAATTCAGTTCTCGGGCGAAGGCCCACTACTAGCCTGGTTGTCAGGTAAAAAGTCGAACCACGTTTAGTCAGTCACCTTATTGTCTGTTCCAACACATTAGCATTTGGCTCAACCATTGAACAAAATGCTGCCACAAGTCTGTGTTAGCGCTCTTTTGATGTTTACATGTTTTTGTAGTAAAATTGAGAGTAAACTTCACGAGTTGCTGCTCTAGTTGTAGAATTGTATCGTGCTTTCGTTGGTGTTAGTCGACAGTACTTATTAATTACACTAATCGTCATTTACATACTTTCAACTTGTACTCGCCGTATTACAGGACATGCAGCCGACGGTTATATGCTTTTCTGGGAAAAGGAAGTCGGGAAAGGATCATATATGCTTTGAGCTCAAAAAATTGTTCAAAGCCGAAGGTGCCAAAGTTGAAATACGGTCCATTAGTCACCCACTGAAAGAGCAGTATGCTCGAATGCATAATCTTAATTTCAAGGAGCTGATAAGTGATGGCCTTTACAAGGAAAATTATCGCAAAGAAATGAATGCTTGGGGTGAAGGGGTCAGGAATAATGACCCTTCCTACTTTTGCAGGTGATATTTTAGTTTTATTTTTAAATTTCTGCGGGTATGCTTTTTTTCCTCTATTACTTTGTGCAAAGTTTATTAAAGGCTGGTGGCTGAACACGCTTCTGATATTGACATTCTGATCGTCAGTGACTGTCGAAGGCCGACAGACATTGAGTATTTTCGGACTCATTTCCAGAGGTTAAGGTGAGTAACACCTTACTTTCTTTGAAATTGCAACAGAAGTAAGTTTTAATAAATTCAGGTTTTGTCAAGAAAAAGTTGTTTGAATGGGAATCTGTTTTAGGCTTGTTCGAGTTGTAACTGATCTTTCAGTTCGTGAATCACGCGGTTTCTCTTATACCGCAGGAATAGATGATAAAGACACTGAATGTGCCTTGGACAGTTTTGAAGGATGGGATTATATTATCGAAAATAATGAGAACTATTCCGAGGAACTGTTTTGTTCAACTGCACTATACGGACAACTGAAAAAACTGGTTTCTGATATCACTAGTGGTACGGATTTGAAAAAAAATGTTTTTGCCTAGTGATAGCGAGATGGTATGAGAGAGCGAGTACGGTTATGATTTGTTCGCGATGCTCACAACGCTCAACGGGATAGTAGAACTCTTGAAGGAGCCAGGATGCAATTAAAGGTATTATAGAATGAGAGAATTGTGTGGGAGACGATTAGACGGCAACGAAGACAAAATTTTTTTTAGAGTAGGAGCGACAGGGCGAAAAAAGGTCAAGGAACATTGTTGTAAAGTGATAACTACCACTTTAAGTTGAGATCGGTTTTCCTTTGACGTTTTATGTGTATATGTGAAATTAGGAAGCATTTTCTCGTTCGCTTCCACTTAGCCTTTTAAATCATTATAAATTTGTACTCGTTCTTGTTGGGAAAATCTAGATGTCGTGGTGTGCTCTAGCACTCTCATATTTCAAGCAGACTTTAGTTATCATGAAAAATTGCATTTTATATATATCCTCAAAATGCGAGTCACTTGACGTTATAAATAATAACGATCAATGTTTTTGCTAGACGTATGGCTTTCCTACCTATATAAACTCGGTGTATCATCTAGCCGATGCTTGTGTTTCACCCATGGATAATTTCACAGAAGGGTTGGGAAGGACTATCACCCTTTTTTTTTGGCTTTTTTGATTTTCATAGATGGCTTGTGGAGCAGAATTCTCAAGTAAACTGAATAATTTATGGTAGGATGCTTTGAACTGATAAGGTGTTGGTGCACAAAGTGCCTACAATCTGCAGTTGACTGTTTAGTACTTCAAAAAGTAAGTATAGTTCATCTAGTCAATAATTAAATTACAGGTTCAATAGAACATATATTTGGGGATGAAAGGATTTTCTAGGAATGCAGGTATTTCACTTGTAAAGATATGAATCCTCTGACTTTTCAGAATGTTTTTCTGATTCTTATCATCTTACAGGAAGATGCTGTTACGATGTTGGCAGTCAAAAATTTGTTTTTTTTTTCGTTTGATCACTATTAGTCAGTTTTTGAACGGTATCTGATGAAATACTTTTAACTTTTTCGTGCTTTGACATGATCCATTTCATAGAAATTTTGAAAATTTTGAAGATTTAGGTTGAACAGCTTTTTGTTTTATTTTACCTGTATTTCAGTGACGGTTTTTTTGCTGTTTTCTAAGATCTTGTTTAGCTGTCTTGTTTCTACTGTCAAGTTATCAGATAGAACCGTGTACTGTTTTTTTAGCATGTGCAACAACTTATATGTTTAACTGCTCCTAACTGTTCGTTTTCGTGCTTTTTTTTTTGTTGTAGTTTGTCAACATTTGGCAATCTTATATTATTAGTCTTATTAGTCTTTTGCTTCGTACAGCATTTCTTTCGAATTTTTATATATGTTTTATTGTTTTTCTGTTTAGAAATACCCCAACTGGTTGTAATTTGTATAAATAAGTAAATTTAATAGGAAAAAGAGTTTTCGTCTTATGATTTTAATAGTTAATAGATTTAAGTAAATTTGTGGAGGGGATCTTGACAGCTTACCTGGTGACAGAATGGCGAAGTCGTTTGCAACGGTCAAACATTTTAAATTGCGGTTGGAAGTTGAGCGAAGATTTTGACAATTTTTATAGTTCTTCATTTTTTTTTTTTGCAGTTTCTAGCAGGAAATTGCCAGTTTTTAATGTATAGCCAGAATACTGTTCAAACTAAGCTGTAATCTTATGTTAGAATTTTTGGATGGTTATTCGTCTCTTGTTGCTTAATTTATTCCATTAAATTATCTTAGCTCAGTGTACACTAATCGATTTATTATAGGATGCAGTATATGCAGTTTTTTTTTGATGACACTAAAATTTGTTTAATTCTTTGCTTTTTTTTCAAAACTTTTTCAAATAAATAAGTAAATTTTAGCATAGATAATAGCAATAACATCAAATCAAACTTTTTTTTTGCTATATTTTATGACACTTGTAAATTTATCATTGCTTACAGCCGTCTTTTTTTTTCTAACTTTAAAGTCTGGTAACTATAGTCAAAAAAGAAAAAAACTTCGATTTTGTTAGTGGTTTTTAATTTTTAGTCACTTTAAAAAAAAATATTAGTCTGTTAATGAATATTTGTTGTCTGAACGGTATTTATTTTCATTTGTGTAAATGTTCGTTTATTGAAAGGAAAATTTATTGCAGAATATTACAAGTTCTTTTTTTTTTGCACTTATTGTAAAGTTATGAATTGGTTTAAGCTGATACACTGATATGTTTCAGTCACAGTCTGTAGATTCAAAAATATCATTGTTCTTAGGCAATTAAAGTGCTGTGTTCAATGTCTGAAAGATATAATATCCAAACGGAATTTAAAAACAGCATTAAAGCTAAGACTTCATAAATGTAGTTTTTAATGATGGTGTTGATGATGATTACGATGGTAAAGATGATGTCTGAGTGAAGATTTTTCTTCTGCTTAGACTGCTTATACGTATGTTAAAGACAGAGACAAGAAAGTTACATGGGATTCATCAGAAAAGTTTCTTGATTACCATGGCCATGAAACGTTTGCCTGTATGGTAAATTCAGCCTTTTTTTTTCAAGTATGCAGCATAACTAAAGAGCTGACTGGGTGTTAGGGATCAATATGGTTTAAAGAACTTATTTCTGTGTTTCCAGCAACTTTCACGGGTGTTGATGGGTCAAATTGTTGAAACAAGACCAGTTGTTTTTTCCTTATGAACTTTTGGACATAAGTTTTATTCTCTCTTTTTTTTTCTTTTGTTAATTAGGCTTCATTTTTGGTTTTGATTGATAAACGTGGAACACCGGTTGTCTTCTGTAGACTAAATATACAATTCATTTATATTTGGTAAAACAGGAGAAATTTATTTTTTGGTTATTTAAATAGAAATTTTCTCTGTTCTCAGTAAAAAAAGAAGAAGACGATTTATGTTCTTTCAACTGACTTGAATGCTTTATTGCTTCAATATCATCACAAAGAGTTTAGGGATTGGAAAAGAAAGAAATGAACTTAATGATTATTAACGGTATAGACTTATAAATAAATCTATTTGTCTTTTTTCTAGTTATTGGCCTTATTCTTGTTCTTGTTTTGTTCTTTTTTTGTTTTTTTTGTTTTTCAATAAGCATTAGGGAGGAAAACAGGAAATAAGCAAATGGTATGATAAAGGGGAAAAAAAACAGCAAATTTTTTCAAATGTTTTATTTAGAGACGTGTTTTGTTGTAATTATTTAGCTATTGCTGCTGCTTTTTTATTGTTTTTTATTTTGTTTTTGTTTTTGTTTTTTTTTTTTTTTTTTTTTTT